TCTTTGATGTTTATGTATAGTTGGGAGGCTGCCTACGACTCCCTGGGCACGGTTAGCTGGGACCTCTGTCCCCGTGTGTTCCTGGACCCCCTGGGGGTCCCCCGGTATGATGGGTGCTCCCCAGGCACCCTAGCCTTATGGGCTATGCGTGGCTCCTACCAACCCCTAATACCACGCCTCAAGCCTCGCAGATGGAATAGACGCTGGTATGTCTCTCTATATGTACACGGCCCGTCTCTCGGGCCTCCTCTATGTACTCTCGCCCCGCTCTCTGGGGCCTCCTCTTCTGGGCTGCCCTCTCTTGGGCTCTCCAAGCCCACTCGGGGCCTCCCTGTAAAGTTGCCCCTCTCTGGGGCCTTCTCTGTAGTGTTGCCCCCTGTCTGGGGCCTTTGCAATAGTGCCCCCTCCTGGGGCTTTCCCTGTAATGTCGCCTGAACACGGGCTTCTAAAATACAGCCCCCCATCTGGGGCTCTCTGCGCCCACTCTGGGGACTTCTTGGCAACGCCCCCCGACTCTCGGGCCCACCGCACTGCTACCCCCTTCTCCCAAGGCTCACCGCGCCACTCCCCCCTCTCGGGCCCACTGCGCTGCTGCCCCCTTCTCCCAGGGCCACCGCGCCACTACCCCCTCTCACCGGGGCAACCGCCTCAGCCCTGGGCTTTATAAGGGCCAGGCCCTGCCTCCTACAGGCAGCTGGCTCTTAGTTGCCCCGGCAACCTGCAGCTGTGCTTGTTACCCTGGCAACCCTCAGCTGGGCTGGTTATGTCCTGCCAGGGCTCTCTCTCTCTCTCCCTCCCTGGCAGTTTCCACTCCCTAGGAGCAGAGCACTGAGGTGCCCTGCGACACCCCTGCCCTATTTTTCCTCTCAGCAGCTCCAGCTGTGCACGTATGGCCTTACTTTGCTTTGGCAGCTGCAGTCCAGGCCCCTACATCCTCCAGCCAACACAGACTTAGCTCTGGTCAGGGCACATGCTGCAGTGGGGTTTCTGTGCTGGGTAGCAGCAAGCTGAAGGCAATAACACAACATGCAGCGGCTGCTGCTAGCCAAATGGAGGAGGGCAGAGGGCAAGGCAGGACCTCCCTGGAAGGGCCTGCCTAGTTTCTGTTCCAAGGGCCATGATCTTTTTGTGCCTGCCAAGCTCATTCCTCAACTGCAGATTCTCTACTCACCACCAAGGGGCAGCCTAGGACAGTAACACCAGTAGAAGTAACAGGAGCAGCAGACCAGGTCTCCCAAGCGTTGGGCACTGGCCTCCCACACCACACTATGCCACAACAGATGCTTTGGGGCTAGCATGGCCCCTCTGCGTGGGAGGAAGATGACAGTGGAAGGGAGGCCTCTGCTCATCCCTGAACTCTGCTCTCAGCCATTAGCGCACAGATTAATGTCTGGTTTCACCATCCAGCAACCTGCTTCATTGCTGCCTCACCCAAAGCTAGCCCAAAAGGCAGGTGCCCCACTCCTTGCAAGGCTGTTCTCCACAAGGTCAGAGCGCCAGCATCCCCCCAGGATTCAGGACTTCTGAGTTTAGAGTAGACAGAACCCAATAAGCCCCTTGGAGCAGCCCTAGTGGGAGGGTGGCCAGAGCCAGTGGTGCCTGCAGTATGCATCCACCTGTTGCATGAAAGGTGTCTCCCTGGGCACTCTCAGAAGTCTTCAGAGGTGCTTCAATAAGTGCCACTGCCCTGTTGCTACAGTTCTAGGATCCTACTGTCTTTGGGGGTGACACAGGGATGGAGCCCCAATGAGAGCAGCCTTTGTGGGGAGAAGAGGGGCTGCTGGAGCCTTGGGGCTCCAGCCCCCACCCCACAGCCCAGGGTCCTGCACTGTTCAAGCCTTAGGCAGCTGGGAAAAAGAGCAAGTACCACCGCCCAACCCCCTTCATTCACATGGAGTAGGGAAGAGGATGTCCCATCCGCCACACCACCAAGAGACACCTGGAGCCCCTAAGTGCATCAGGGCAGGGTCCAGCAGTCCTGACTGTGACAGCCAGTGGCTGACCTGCCCTCTGGAGTGAGCAGAGGCCAACTCTTGGCAGTGGTTCAGCTGGGGCATAGCAGGTGGTGCTGCTGGGCTGCAGCGGCCCCAGCCACTACCAGATGAGCTCTGGCAGCACAGGAGGCCTCTGCCCCTGGGCCGAAAGCTGGAAAAGTAGCTGGCTCGGGGGAGGCAAAGCAGCACGGGCTTGCTCTGCAGTTCTCCCCACTCCTGCCCAAGGTGTTGCATGAAGGCAAGGAGCTTTACAGTGGCATCAGACCCACTGTATGCACATGGAGGCTTGGAGAGCACCTGGGGGCTCCTCCTCTTCCAGCAGGGGCCAGGGTGAATCCTCTGCAGCAGCCAGAGCAGATCTGGTTTTGGCCCCGGTATCTGAGCATGGTGCTGGACAGACAGCCCCTGCACTCTGCGGGAGGATGCTGGCCAGAATCATCAGTGCCTACAGTAGGCACCCACTTGTTATCTACTCTGCCAGGTGCCTGCCTACTACAGCTGCAAGGGTGGTTTTCCATATGTGAAGGCAGCAGGCAGCCCTTGGGGACTACAAGCAGGACAAGCAGCTCAGCAGTGACTACTGGATGGCACTGAGACAACTGAACCTCCCACCACACAGCTCTGGGCACCAGGTACAAACTGGAGCGTTACATCGCTTTGAGTAGGGAAGCACATGCAACAGGCACGCAGAACAGGCCCAGTGTCCATGTGAGCATGGGCGCGCGCGCACACACACACACACACACACACACACACACACAACAAGTCCGGTGTCCTGCCCACTGTAACAGGGCCTGCCCCTCCCACCGGAGCAGCTGCCCATGCTAAGTACTCCCAATGAAGAGGATTTCCTTCCTGCAAGAAGGGACCTGGCAGGCCCGAGCACAGCTCAGCTCCAAAACTGGAACCAAGTGCTCGTTGCTGCAAGAAGGATTTGGTTTCACCTCTCTCCCCACTCCAGGAAACAGTGGCAGCTGTGCAGGCCCATGCTGGCTGAAACCATTGTATTGCCCCCCACCCCCCCAGCAAGACTGCACATAGCTGGCTGGATGTGCCC